TTATCATTTATAAAAAGAACAGCCAAATATTAATGGTTACAGAAATAAGACTGCAGATTTTAATGAACGGTTTAAACTGTTTTCTTTCTTACAGAGTCTGTCTCCACTGCCAGAGAGCTTGAATAACCTGAAAATGTACACAAAAATGTTAGACATTGAATTAAGAATGATCCAATTACCTAACAGTACAATTTGGAAGTAACTGGACTGAACTATGCCTGTAAATATGAAGTATCTTAAAAATCAATCCTGTATTTCTTTACATTTATACTATTGGTTAAAAGTATTAACAGTAACAAATGCTGCAATCTGAAAAGAGATGTGTAGAACACATGCTAATTTATGTTTTTGGATGTTTGCATTGAGAAGTTATCTTCTGAAAAGTGGTATTTGAGGCACAACAACAGGCAAAAGCAAGCTTCTACTCTGCTTTAGTACTAATCACAGCCACAAGAACTTGAAATGATTGCACCTCAAAGCCTTGTACAAAGAGGCACAGAACTGTTGATTAAATAAAAAAATGTGGCACCAGATCTTTGACACACTATGCTGAGTATAAGTCATGTACTTTGTTGAACCAAATACTTAAAAATAAGTTATACTTCTGCACACTAAGGATTTAAAGAGAGGCAAAGAGGAAGGGTGTGGACCAGCCAGGCAAATATTGGCTGAACTCTGTCTGCCCTGACTTAGTCCCAGCTATGAAGAGGATCTGACTTAACTGCTTTTAAATATTTTCTTTCAAAAACCTATGACTTTGTCAATTTAACACCTTTGAACCATGGAAAAGCATAAAACCTTCTTCCAATGATAAAATTCAGGAATTTTGATAATGGTCAAGCAATAACTAATCCCCTACCTTCCTGATACCAGTTTCTGGCATGCTCTCTCCAAAGAGAGGGCTTTGGAAGACAAAGAAATAAGACTGCCACAATGCCTATTGCAAAACAATTCCCCCTTCCCACCCATGCCGTAACAAAAGAAAGTTTAAGAGCAGACTAGCCCGAGTCGCCAAATTCAGCAGCAGGGAAAACCACAGTTCATTTCCTTAGCCAATATGGTGCCAAAAGGAAAATTCTGTGGGTTAGTAAGCAAGAGATAATTTACTAACCATATAAAAGCTGGAAAAATGTAATAAAACATTAGCTTTTTCATCTTAGCCAACTAAACCCTTAAAACAGTTTCCATTTGTTTAATGTGAGGTATTGTTTGTGGTTTGTAACCCTTTGCAACAGTCCAAAGTTTGTAGAAATTAAAAGCGGAAAAGAATCTATAAATCTTAGAACAAAAGTTCTTTTGGATTTTTCCAAGCCACAGTAAATTTAGTTACCTTCTGGTCCTGGGTCCTGAAACAATTTTTAACATAGTTGACAAATTTGGCTTCCAGTTTAGGAAGGGCAGAACCCTATTATAAAAAAAAAGTTCAGTGTATGTAAAGTCAATGAATAGACAGAAAACCCTTGTGAGATGGGTTTTAAATCCTTAGTACAAATAAAAATGTTCAAAGTGAACTACAGTATCAAGAAAATCCTGTAATCCAAAGTAATTTAAAATATTTTCAGCATTATCAAGGTTCTTTTATCAAATCCATTACCCTAGTATGAGGCCCTTGCATAAGTAGTTGACTCTCCTTAAAATACAGGGATAATTCTATCTATAATCACATTTCAGAGCATTAGAGGCCAACACTTTCATAGCATAGATCAGGGGTGGGCAATCATTTTTGATGGGGAGCACTGCAAGAAAGTGGTCACGGGCCGCACTCTTCGATATTAAGGGAGGAAGTGTGGGATCTGGGATGGAGGTTGGGTGCAGAAGGGAGCTTGGGATAAGGTATTGGAGTGCAGGAGGGAGAGTGGGGCTTGGGTGAAGGAGACAGTTGTGACATAGGGTAGGGAACTGGGGTGCAGGAGTTTGGGTGGTAACCTAGGGTGGAGGGGAGTGTGATCTGGGAGAAGGGACTGGGGTGCCAGATCTGGGAGGGGGTATGGGTATACGAGGGGGGCAGAGGGTTTGGGTATGTTGAGTGGGGGTGGGGACAGAAGGTTGGGGAAGAGAGGGGCTAGGGTGCTAGAGGCAGGCTCTGGCCAGACTTACAAGCTAGCAGCCCAACCAGCCTGCTTGCCAAACTAAGTTTCTCAGCCTGCCTGCTTGCCTCGTGCCTGCATAGCCATGGGATTGTGGGAATAACTGAGCCTGAGGGGAAGGCGACTTGGTGCTTCTTGTGCTGCCTGTTGTTCAAAGCACAAGCAGACAGCCGAAGGGATTGTGCTGGGAACAGCAGGTACACCTGAAGCCTTATATCCTCTGCTCCAGGCTCTCAGTTTTTAAAGAGAAACAGCCCTGTACCCACTTTTCTGAGCAGTGTGTGGGGCAAGCAGGGGAGCCTGTCTGGGGCTCCCTGCAGTGTCCATAGGCTGGATCCAGTGGCTTGGAGGGAAGAATCTGGCCCGCAGGCCTTATTTTGCCCAGGCCGGGCTTATATTGCTGGCTGTTACATATCAGCATGCACCTAAGTGTGAGGCATTCTACCAAGTTGGAAGGCATCTCTGGGATTCAATGTGCAAGCAATTTGCAGGGACATCCAGGGACTTAGGTCTTCAGCACTATTTTCCTTTAAAAATAAACATCTATCTTGTATAATCCTAAGGCAAAAATACTGGTACATTTACACTGTTAGATATTATTTCATCTCAGGGAGTATCTGTTAGTCTGTATCTGCAAAAATAATTAGGAGTACTATGGCACGTATGGCCTGTTTTTGTAGCGTTAAGGGCAGTGATATACCCGAACAATGAGCAAGCTTAAAATGGAAGTTTTTCTTTCCACCCTTAATAGAATCATAGAATAGCAAAACTGGAAGGGACCTCTAGAGATCATCAAGTCCAGTCCCCAGCTCTCATGGCAGGACCAAAAGCAAGGTCTAGATCATCCCTGATATCTTGTCTAACCTGCTCTCAAATATCTCCAGTGTTGGAGATTCCACAACTTCCCTAGGCAATTTATTCCAGCGTTTAACCACCTTGATGGTTGGGAAGTTTTTCCTAACTTCTAACCTAAATCTCCCTTGCTGCAGTTTAAGCCCACTGCTTCTTGTCCTATCCTCAGAGGCCAAGGAGAACAATTCCCCCTCCCCACTGACACCCTTTTAGAAACCTGAAAACGGCAATTATGTCTCCTTCTCAGACTTCTCTTTTCCAAACTAAAGAAGCCCAATTCCTTCAGGCTTGCCTCATAAGCTCATCTTTTCTAGACCTTTAACCATTTTTGCTGCTCTTCTCTGGACCTTCTCCAATTTCTCCATATCTTTCTTGAAATGCGGTGCGCCCAGATCTGGACACAATATTCCAACTGAGGCCTAATCAGCGTAGAGTTACTTCTTGTGTCTCTCAAAACACTCCTGTTAATGCCTCCCAGAATCACGTTTGCTTCCCCTCCTCCCCCGTGTCACTCGCCTGACTCTTATTTAGCTTATGGTCCACTATGAGCCCTAATTCCCTTTCTGCAGTACTCCTTCCTAGACAGTCGCTTCCCATTCTGTATGTGTGAAACGGACTGTTCCTTTCCAAGTGCAGCACTTTGCATTTGTCCTTATTAAACTTCATCCTACTGTTTTATACTAAATGTTAAGGCAATTATTTTAGAACCAATCTTTTGAAATAAAGTGGTCAACAAGACTTTTACCTCTGAGCCAAACTCTGAAGGACAAAATGCTAATATTGAGTCACTCTGCACTACTCAGATCCCCAAATGCACTTCAAGTTAAATCAGATGTTAAGGGTGTGTTTCTTTGAAGGCATCCACCTTCATCTATAGAGCAAGACAGAGGGCATAACTCAGTCTATGGAACCCTTTATTGAAGGTGATGAATGAGGAAGTACACATCTTAACAGATTCTCCTCAAGGTTCTCCAGGGCTACACCAAACTTTATTTACTGGGCCAAGTTTTCAAACTTGTGCATCTGTAACACCAATTAAACACTCAAATCTGATTTAGGAATTGAAGTAAGTCTTTAGGGGTACAACTTTAAGACAGCTTGATATTTAGTTCTGAGCACACAAATACTGAAGATGAAGACTGAAAACATGAAACCCTGGAATGCCATTTTCATTTTGTCTTCAGTGTCTAATTCTCTCCCTGTGGGTAGCATTGCTAAGCTACTTGAAGACAGTGACAAACCGCTCAATTTGGTGTAACATCAAATAGTTTAAACTCACCTTTTCAAGGGTTGCCTGCATCTTTGCTTTAATCTCCTCTAGTGAAAGGGGTACTTTTGGTGATTTTGGAGTTTGTGGTTTATTTTCCTTTTTATTAGACGCTGGCGTCTGAAAAAAAAGCAGTTTGTTATAATCTTTTGTAAAAAGTTAGCAACTGCAAAGACGCTACTATAATTCATTTACTTCAACTTTTCTTTTTTAAATAGTTATAAAACATTGCTCAAACTATACAAAGGAAGTCACTATATACACAGAATATACTGGACATCACAAAGTATCCTGAGACCAAACACAGATGTTAATACTCAATGAATTCCTTCTTACTCCAGATTTTACTTCCAATCTTCAATAAACTATTAGAAAAGGTATCAAAATAAAAAATTACGTAATTTGTGCCCCTTCTTTCAACTGGTGACCTGCTTTGATGGGGAACATGTATAAACCACTCAAGCTTAGAGTGATATTTATGTTACAAAAATTTACTTAGAAAATACTCAACTAAAAATAGGTGCCTGAATGGTAATTGTAGCTTAAAAAGGTTTAGACCCAATCTCTCCTTTACCATCCTTACTTCACCTATCTGGACTAAGTTCAGCTACCTTTCATCCCAAATACAAGCCCAGCAAGCTACTAAAAAGCCAAATGTTAGGCCAAACTGAAAATTTACATTATATTCAGTCACTCACTTTTGATTTAGGGGCTGGGGTGGACGGCTTAGAATCTTTTCCATTCTGCTTTGATTTTGGAGTATTTTTTGCTGACAAGTCCTTGGCAGGCTGAAATTACAAGCATTTTACACTTAACTTCACACAACACAACAGGAGAAAAGCAATAAATAACCACAAAGAAGTAAATTGCTCTGTTTAGTAACTATCTTGAACAAAAACAAGGAGTCCAGTTGCACCTTAAAGGCTAACTTTTTTTTTTTAGGGCATAAGCTTTCATGGTTGCAGCTCGCTTCAAAGACATGAAGTGAAACAGCTGGCAGGGATTTATACATGCATACAGAAATGGGGGTGTTATATCAGCGCTAATGATGCGAATTCAATCAGAGCAAATATGACCCACTTCCAAAAGTGATCAGATAAATTACTTTATCATAATAAACTAGCCATTCCCAATCCCTTATTCCGAGGGATAGAGCCCTGTGTAGATACAAAAATGTGATCCACATTCTATCCACATCTGTCAGGCTCAATTCATCTGACCTGCAGTCCGGATTTTACTCATACCCAACAACAAATCTGGAGGGGAGAAGGGGAGCACAGGTAAGCAAGGAGGGGGCAGGGCCAGCACTCAGGCCCTCTTGCAGCGAGATTTAGGACACAGATCCTGGAACTACCCCTCGCTCCACCTGGCAAGGGAAGAGAGCTGTGTGGATATCTGCTCCACTATCTGTGGATATCTGTAGATATGCAGGACTCTATTGATGGTGTTAAGTCTGCACATGAATTCCAGCTCAGCGGTTTCACTGCTGCAGCCTGGTCAGTCTATGTCCACAGCAGCTTTCCCTATAATCTTAGCCACCCGGGAGAGATTCAAATGCCACCCAGCTGATTAGCAGAGCATTGACAGCTGTTAGCATACGTTTTCACTAGTGGTGTTACATCCGCACATGCCTCTGCACATCAAATTTATTCTACACATGGATGGAAACATTGGTCCACGGAGGTCAAAATGTTCTATTTAATGTTTTGTGTAGAGACAGTGCCGTTTGTCCAACTGATATTGGAAATGAGACTGCACTCCATTTTCATTATGGGTCTTACCTGACCAAAATCCTCTGCCCCATGTCCACATTTGCACAGCTCACCAGCCGCGTGGAACTGCATGCAGCGCATGCGCAGTCAGAGCTATGCATGCGCTGACCGCACTGCATGGCCACGCCGGGCTAAAATCTACTTGCAACAGGTGAGTAGATTGCCTTAACTGTCAAGCCCTGCACCTTCGTACCAACTCAATTTCTAGAGTAATGCTTATGCCTACAACTGGCAAAGTACTGAATTATGTGCACCCTGTGATGATTCTATTTCTACTGTTGCATGATTGATCTGAACCACTCTGGTATTTAGCAGCTTTGATCTAGCACACATGCAGTTTAAGAGTTGTCAAAATATACCAAGAATTAATATATGTATCAGCATGCAAAGAAAAGATCTAGTATTAACTGTATTAGTTTAAAGTAGAGGCTTTAACAGCTGCAAATACAAACTGAATGAAGAACTATTCATATCTAATTACTGGGTGAAATTATTCTGAATTAAATGAAAGCTGGTGGTTTCATTTTCTGTATCATGCTGATAACCTACATGCATAGCTCTGAAGTAAGCTGACTAGTTCAGTTTTTGCATTACCTTAAATCAGTGGTCTCCAACCTTTTAGAGGATGAGATCACTTTTTTAATTTAAGTGCAATCCAGGATCTACCTCAAACCCAAATACTTTTGCCCTACCTCCTTTGTGCCTCTTATCCAAGGCCTTGCCCTTGCTCACTCCATCCTTCCTCCCTCCCATCAGGCAGGGGCAGAAGGTTGGGGCACAGGCTCTGGTCTTTGGCTAATGAATTTGGAGCATCAGAAGGGCTCTGAGCTGAGCCTGGGGCAGGAGTTGGGGTGCAGGAGGAGGTTCACGGTCAAGCTCTGTAAGGGAGTTTGGGTCTAGGAGGGCTTGGGAGGAAACTTCGGGTGCAGGAGAGGATACATGATTGGGACAGGGATTCAGAATGCAGCCTCCAGCTGGACACTGTTTACCACAGGTAGCTCCTGTGTAGTGAAATGGGGCTAAGTCAGGCTCACCCCCTACCCTAGCCCTGTGCCACTCCCAAAAGCAGCCAGCAAACTCTCTCCATCCCAAACCCTGTTGGTGCCTCCCACCCCCTTCTGTGGAGATAGACTACAGGGTGGGAGAGGGGAACAGCTCCACAGCAAAGGGCAGGAGCTGCACAGCAGTGTGGTGAGAGGCAGCTGAAGTCCTGCGCTTGATAGCCTCTTGGCCAAACCAGTCAAGATCACCTGTCAGAGGCTCCAAGATCTACCAGTAAATCCCAATATACAGGGGAAGCAGCTGAAGTGCTGCACTTGATAGCCTCTTGGCCAAACCAGTCAAGATCACCTGTCAGAGGCTCCAAGATCTACCAGTAGATCCCAATCTACAGGCTGGTGACCACTGCCTTAAATGCTCTCAAAGTTGAAATTGATTTCATAAAATAAGCAGCAAGCTACAATAGTCATGTGTAGCTGAGAAGTTTCAACTACCTATATATCTGAACACCGTTTTCATTATAATTTAGCTGATACTATAGATATACAAGTTATCAGAAATCCAGACAAACATTGTCTCAAATATGAACTTACTTTTTTCACTGGAATCTTCTCTTCCTCTTCATCTAAGTCATCATCATCATCACTAAAATTAAAAATTCAGTTACTTAAACAGCCTACCCCCAATATGTACATAACTATGTAAATTAACCCACTTACTACTGTAGTAATTTGGGAAGTTAATCAGAGCAGCTCACTAAGATATACATATCCACTGTATTTCATATAAAATAAATGTGCAAATTGCCACTTCAATTACATACAACCCTTCAGTGTTGTGTGTTTATAAAATAGAAAACACTTGCAAAATATTCTACAAAACTGTTCAAAAACCAAGAGATTTAAATAGTCTAAGGGTGTCTGGCTTAAAATTACTTTCTTCCCTTCTTTCAGACCTCTGGAAAAGTTGCTTTACTTCTACCCACCACTGCATTTCCCCTAACACTTTTTCTTACTCCCTTTATTACCATCTGCTGTTAGAAAACTTTAAAGGGGATTTGCTGGACAAGGGGAGGCCCCTCCCCTTAAGGCCCTTACTGCCCTCTGGGACTAGAGCTCCAAGGCTCCACCACCACTAGGGTCAGATCTCCCTGCTGTGTTGACCACACAATGGATGTAAGTGACCAGCCAATTATCTGATAAACTTTTGCTTATCAGGTAGGTTGACTAGTCCCACCCCTCCCCCGTTGCGGGGGGGCGGGGGAAAACCAGCTTAAAAGCCAGTTCTCCCCCCCCCCCACATCATCTCCGGGGGTGAGGGTGGTGGACCAGGGGGAGCTGCAAATCCCATTGAGGCTGCCATTTATTGACTAGTCAATTAAATTTAATATCCCTTAGCCTCTAACAAGATTCCCAGCCCCACCTTTGCTCTGACCACACTCTTGCCCCCAGCCAGACCTCCTTGTTCCTGGACACTAGAGTCCAGAAACATCCATGGTCTTACCAGACCATAAAATCCCAGTTTAGGGAGGTACAATCTGCAAGTCAAAATATCTTGATTCTAAATTATGCATATTTTCATGCTCTGAAGTTGCTACTACCAAAAACTAAACATTTAAGAATGTACTGTAAAAATAAGATACACACTCTTCATCATCTTCATCCTCATCATCTTCATCGTCATCGTCGTCATCTTCAGACAATTTTGCTTTTTTCTTTAGGGGAAAAGAAAGTTTTACAAGTCTGGTTACAAAGTTTAGCAAATGGTTTTCTGAATGTACAATACAGATGGTACACAAGCTGATCGGAAATTTGCTCTTCCCATGAACAGTATTATCTAATTTACAAGATGAAAGTCTTTTCTATAGCGTTGCACCAGTTTAAAGACATCACTCTTCAAGTCAAAATTAACCCAGTGCCAGTTGTTTCTTGGCACGGCAAACAAATTTAACCTTCGTATTGGTAAATTTAGACAAACTAATCCGATATTGGTTTAAAACCTACACAAAAAGCTGTTTAATAAATTAAGTTGAAGTTAAACCACTGAAACATTTATGTTATGTAGAAAAAGCAGTTCAGCTAATACCAATAAATTAAAAGCTTTACCAAATCCATTTAAGACCCTGTCATGATTATGAGGGTTAACCAGCAGCCTGGGGATTAAGGAGTTAACTACACCTAGCCAGGTGGAGTGACCAATAGGAATGTAGGTAGGACTTTCAAACCAAGACAAAGGTTACTTTGTGTCCTGATTTTTATAATAGGGGTGAGATTTCCCAAAGGATCTTTCCCCTAATCTTGTTATATTTGGGTGGTGGCAGCAGAAGTTCTATTCCCAACATCTAGGTTTTTAAGTTTTTGGGGGAAATTTTATACCAAAGCCTGGTAGATAAGGCTTTGGGGTACACTTGCTGGCCCCCACTTCTGCATTTATCATGCCAGAGTGGGGAAAGCCATGGAAGACCCCCCCCCCCCTAAAAAAAGCCTGTCTAAAATGCTGGAATCAAGATACATCACTGAAAAGTGAGGTTATTGATAACAATAAAGCAAATGAGAGTCTACACACACAGAATAAAGAGGCTATCACCATGATGGTGCAAGAAAGGAAGCACAGCATAAGGTAATTTAAATGTTTATGCATAAGCACCTTAATCCATATACTCTACAACTGTATCTACATTGACACCCTTTTCCGGAAAAGGGATGCTAATGAGACAAGTCGGAATTGCAAATGCCACAGGGGATTTAAATATCCCCCGCGACATTTGCATGAACATGGCTGCCACTTTTTTCCAGCTCGGGGCTTTGCCGGAGAAAAAGGCCAGTCTAGACGGGATCTTTCGGAAAATAAAGCCTTTTCCGGAAGATCCCTTACTCCTGATTTTAAGAGGAATAAGGGATCTTCCGGAAAAGGCTTTATTTTCCGAAAGATCCCGTCTAGACTGGGGCTTTTCTCCAGCAAAGCCCCGAGCCAGAAAAAAGCGGCAGCCATGTTCATGCAAATGCCGCGGGGGATATTTAAATCCCCCGCTTCATTTGCAATTCCGACTTGTCTCATTAGCATCCCTTTTCCGGAAAAGGGTGCCAATGTAGACACAGCCTACAAGTATAAGCCAGAGCTGGCAAGAAAAGCCATTGCCAAATCTGGTCCCAATGTGGTTAGAGAAATTAAACATATGCTCACCAGCTTGTTTTCTTCCACATTGTTCACAATTGTTACACAATAAACCTCAGAATTATTACACTAAAAAACTGAAAAATACTAGCCATTATCAGACTGTTGAATATACTTTAGAACGATGTTTGAGAAAATTTTAGGACTGAATGTCGGCATCCAAGTACCAGGTAACCTCTCTCCTGTAGCCATCAACAACTTAAACGGGGTAAAGAATGGAGAAAGCATTTGCTTTCCCTGCTTTAGATAGCAGTGACAAACTCTTCCAGGAGAAAGTTTTGAACATACTTCATAAGTAACCTCAACTCTACCTGTGGCGTTTTAGCTGCTATTCCACTTGCTGGTCTCTTTGATGAAGTGTTTAATATCTTAACTTCATCGTCCTCATCTTCTGACTCTGGTTCTTCCTCCAGTGCTAAGAAACAACACATGAATATTTTTGTACAAGGTCCCAATGGTTGACCATATTAGGGTCACCCAGAGCTAAGGAAAAAGTGATCTAATTTTTAAATCAGATAAAACAGATCATTGCCAATTTTCTTCGGACTGGAGTTCCTTCGAAGAGTTTTAAAATTAAAAACGCAAAGAAACTAGGTTTTAACATTAAACAGTCATGTTACCCAAAATTCAATCTAACTATTTTTGGTCTCTGTCTACATTTAATTTTACAAAACTGCATTATCAATTAATGTTTCAGTGGATATAGGATCAGTCATATATGATTAGTGCAAGTGTAGCGTCCTTCCACAGACAAAGATTAATTAACAATAACTAGATGCAATTCAAATGGAAGCATCTTAGGGCGAAGGAATGGCCATCTCTTAGGTGACAGGTTTTATTCAGCTTCTCTGGAGAGGGCTGGAGACTCAAGCAGTGAAATTTTCCCAGAAAGAGTAAACAAAGAAATTTGGTGTTAATGACAGCATTTAAAACCAAAGGGTTAAAGAGGAACAATGGGACGAGCTTTTGTAGCAGAGGGGTCGTTTTCGGCCTAGTGAGTGTCCAACACGAGGAGCTTCACCTGCGCTGTGACACAAAATACCAATTTGGTCATCTTTGAAGGCATTCTTTATTTGTAGGATTAATGGGAAAGTTTTACTTAAAAATGCATTGTCATACAATACATACCTACAAGATGCTGGCCACTGACATAAACAGGCCCAGAACCACTTTTCAACCTCAAAACGACTGGAGGTGTAATCTCAAAGCCACCTAAAGAAACCTAAGGAGAAAGTATGTGTGTTATTTAACAGATTGATGGCAAATTAGTGAATATTTGAACACCAAGTAAGTAAATGCCCAAAAAATGAGCCAACCAAAATGCTGCAGAAACAATGAAATGGTAGAGATGAGAAAGCTGTCATTAACAGAAATGCAACAAACCAGTATCTTCTTCGTTAGGAGCAGTTGAGGAGGAATTACTGGAATGCTCAGCAGGCATAATTTATAATCCATGTACCAGTGGTACCCACTCCAATACCTCTACCCCTGCTGTAAAGCATGGGTGGGAACCTTTTTTGGGCTAGGGGCCACTAACCCCCAGAAAAATCAGTCGGGGGCCATACACAAGTGAGAACCAAAGAAAAAACCCTCACTGACTGAGGAGACAGACACTCCACACATTCCCCTTGCACCAGGCTAGTACACTGTGCACTCCAGCCCCGTGGGAGGATGGTGGGGGAGCTGGCACTAGCAATGTAAGTGACTTGTTTACTATCCAATAAGCAAAAGCTTATCGGATAGTCAATTAGACCCTCAACTAGTCACTCCCCCGTCTCCCGCCGCCTGTCAAGAGGCAGCAAGTGAGGATGAACAGGAGCCGGTACTGGGGGAAACTGGCTTAAAAGCTGGTTCCCCCCAGCACTGTCTCTGTAGGGGCGGAGAGGGGGGGAAGAGAAGGTAGCAGGAACCGGGTGAAAGCCAGGACAGCTGATTCCTGCCTTGAATTAGTTATGTCCCCCTCCCCCCCCACCCACACCCGCCTTTTAAATTTATATGGCTCGTGTGCAGTGGGATTGACCCTGCGCAGACTAGCAATTAGCTGTCCCTGGTTGGGATTGGGTTCCTCCTGCTGCACTTTAGCTGGGCGCTAACTTCGCTGCGGCTCCCGCACTTATCGACTAACCAATGGAAAATCCATCAACTAGTCAATTAAAATAAATGTAACATCCCTAGCTAGAGCACCAGCACAGGCTCCCCAATGCTGGGGGGAGCTCTGAGCCTCAGGGGCCAGATCCAGACAAGCCAGGGGCCACATCCAGCCCCAAAGCCTGAGGTTTCCCAACAATGTAATGTTTTGTAGCATGTAATTTATTATACTACAATCTTTTACTTCTAAACCTACAACCAAAGACTCAAGTGTTCTACTAGCTGCAATGAACAGGTAAGACCAAGAGAAGCTTGGCAGGTATCTAAAGCTTAAGAGTTCTCATCTCACTATAGACTCACATCAATATACAGGTTGTGTGGATTTATCAGAGTCCTCAATTCCACCTTTACAGGGAATACTTTGAAGAGATAATAGTAATATAGACTTATAAACCACTGTGGAACCCAATGTCTTTCCCCAAAGGATACACATAGAGCTCTACAAGGCTAACGAATAAAGCAACAGAAACTTAAACCTAACGCATGCAGTCCTGACTGAACACCTAGATGCACATCAGCTGACTACTATGGTTTCAGCTGTTTGTTTCTAAACCATTTTGAATTAAGGCAACTTACTCAGATCCAGCTGAAAACAAGACAAGCTTCCATTAAGAGATTTAAGAAACCTAAGACTACCCAAAAAGCTTTCCATACTTTAATTAAAATGGAGGCTTTATAAAGTTAAAAATTCTTCCATATTTCAAACGAAACCTGAGTTATACCCATATCCAAGAACCTGAGAATGTAATGACCAGAGAATCATGAAGAACAAATGAAACAAATATTTAAAAAAATTCTTAACTTCAGGTGTTAACGTGAGAAACAAGGATTTGCTTTACTATGATTTCCACTGTGTTAGTATGTCTTAGTGAGACTATTATTAATAAACTTTGGTGTGAAGTGGTAATGTACAGGCTTGTCCTTACCGTAGGCTGTACTGACATTTTCAAAGATGCCAGTGTGACCTTAATAGGGTTCCCTTCATAGTCCAATGCCTCAGCTTCTATGACATGCAATTCATCTTTGACACCAGCACCCAAACTAACCTATGCAAGAAGTGAAATATATTATCCTTTCTGAAAAGCTGAACCACCATTCTAACTTGTAAAATTATTACGATAAACTTTTACATTCAAATACATCTTCAATACATTCATGAGTTTAATATTTTTATCTTGTATGACATTTCTTGTTTATGTTTTACTATGTTCTGTAGCTTTTTTTTGTATTGACCTTGTAACATTTAAGGGACAGGCTACTCTTTAAAAACTTACTATGTACTAATAAATTACTATCTGTTAAATTATGAAACATCATATTATGAATGTTGAATACTTCAGAACAAATTCTCCATAGTGATGCTGCTCGAAGTGAAGGCTGTCATTCCTCCATACTCATGCAGTTAATGTGATCAGTGTTGAAGTGTGGCTAGGAGGCAGGCATGCTGCTGGCAAGTGGCCTTTTTTGCTTTTGTACATGTAACCTTAGCTGCTAGAAGTTTGTGTATGTAGAACAATAGTTTTTTATCCCACGCTAACTGCATTAGAGGCAATACCTTTTCCTACTGTTAGGATTGTAGCAAAACAGTCGCAGATACAGAAACTTAAGACAGTATTTTTTACTGTGAACTTTCTTAGATCATCCTTGACTTAAAATACATTTGATTCCAGGGAAACCATGCTCATTTATTATGAGAAACATTGTTCTAGTAATGAACATATATGTTCATCTGAGCAGGACATTATAGTACACTAGCACATTTACCTGGTGTTGCTTGGCTCCTTAAGGAGGGACTCAAAGCAGAGGGCTGGGAATTTGGGGCGTGTGCAGGAGTGAGATGGGGTTTGTGTGTTTATGTAGGTAAAAGCCTATCCTCCAAAATCTGTACCAGGGCTGCTTGCTCTTTCCCCTTTCGGAAGGAGCAAAGCACTCCCCAGTCAGAGTGAGGAATGCAGCAAACTTTTTGTTTTCATATGTACCAACAAGTTTTATTAAATAAAGTTAAAAAAGTTGTTTTGTGTATTTTATTTTGCATTTCTATTAAAATATAGCATGAGAATCTAATAGAGAAACGCAGCATTCACCATTTTCTAACATACGTTATGCTATTTAATAGCTTAAATAAGTCTGTATATATAGTGTAACCTGGCTAGCATAAAACATCAAAAACAAGAATGTATGTAGTTGCAAATCAAAATATTTTCATAAATTGAAAATCAACATCTTTATAAACCCACAATTAAAACTGTGTATTTAAATTGTGGTTCCTTGCTTGTCATGATTAAAATCAGTGATTTAAATCCCTTCACCCTGCTATGGGGCAAAAGTGAAGTTGTACTACATCAAGTCTTACAATGGAAAATACTGAATTGTGCGACTGGCAAATAAGTGAACAAATTGCTTAGTAACAAAATATTTAAGCTCAACATCTGGGTGTTTTATTTTAGAAGTGGAGAAAGATATAATAAATACTCAGTTTGTATTACAAATCCCTTTCACTTTTCCAAAACAGAGTTCCTCTGTACCAATCTAGAATATATGTTTATTTTAAATGTTGGTTTCTCTTCATCTTCACAAAACAAGGGTTCTTAGGCAATTACTGTTGACGACTTCAAAAATTATGAAGAAAAGCTAGTAAAAATTACAGACAGAATAGAAAAGTTTCATATAATTTTACAGTGACCCCAAATTACTTTTTATAGTAGTATAATAGTTTTTTTATAAATGTCACGATGCAGCACCAAAACACAAAGAGACACAGAATTCCATGCTGAACACAGCAGGACAGGCTGGGAGAATAATTCAGTTATTCACATGTATTGCTGCCCACCATTGGGAAAGGGGAAAACCATTCTTGCAGCTCTCCCACGTGCGTTTCCTGAGACAAGGACTTACTGTTCTCAGTGACAGCTGGTGTTCGTTTTCCTCATCATCCACCTTGAAATGAAAGTCCTTATCTGCTTTTAGCTCACAACCTGCAAGAGACACAGGGCGAGTAGGTTGGCGATGAAACGCTGCGTCTCTCCGCTTCCGCAGCATCCCCAGCCCGCGTTTCAGAAGTCTGCACGCGGGTGCAACACGCAGACGCCTCCGCAGGCCACACCCCAGCCTGAGCAGCGGAAAGCAGCCGGCGCCGTCTGGGCACCGCAG